GTTGAACAACAAGCGGCACAAAGCATGTGGTTGAACAACAAGCGGCACAAAGCATGTGGTTGAACAACAAGCGGCACAAAGCATGTGGTTGAACAACAAGCGGCACAAAGCATGTGGTTGAACAACAAGCGGCACAAAGCATGTGGTTGAACAACAAGCGGCACAAAGCATGTGGTTGAACAACAAGCGGCACAAAGCATGTGGTTGAACAACAAGCGGCACAAAGCATGTGGTTGAACAACAAGCGGCACAAAGCATGTGGTTGAACAACAAGCGGCACAAAGCATGTGGTTGAACAACAAGCGGCACAAAGCATGTGGTTGAACAACAAGCGGCACAAAGCATGTGGTTGAACAACAAGCGGCACAAAGCATGTGGTTGAACAACAAGCGGCACAAAGCATGTGGTTGAACAACAAGCGGCACAAAGCATGTGGTTGAACAACAAGCGGCACAAAGCATGTGGTTGAACAACAAGCGGCACAAAGCATGTGGTTGAACAACAAGCGGCACAAAGCATGTGGTTGAACAACAAGCGGCACAAAGCATGTGGTTGAACAACAAGCGGCACAAAGCATGTGGTTGAACAACAAGCGGCACAAAGCATGTGGTTGAACAACAAGCGGCACAAAGCATGTGGTTGAACAACAAGCGGCACAAAGCATGTGGTTGAACAACAAGCGGCACAAAGCATGTGGTTGAACAACAAGCGGCACAAAGCATGTGGTTGAACAACAAGCGGCACAAAGCATGTGGTTGAACAACAAGCGGCACAAAGCATGTGGTTGAACAACAAGCGGCACAAAGCATGTGGTTGAACAACAAGCGGCACAAAGCATGTGGTTGAACAACAAGCGGCACAAAGCATGTGGTTGAACAACAAGCGGCACAAAGCATGTGGTTGAACAACAAGCGGCACAAAGCATGTGGTTGAACAACAAGCGGCACAAAGCATGTGGTTGAACAACAAGCGGCACAAAGCATGTGGTTGAACAACAAGCGGCACAAAGCATGTGGTTGAACAACAAGCGGCACAAAGCATGTGGTTGAACAACAAGCGGCACAAAGCATGTGGTTGAACAACAAGCGGCACAAAGCATGTGGTTGAACAACAAGCGGCACAAAGCATGTGGTTGAACAACAAGCGGCACAAAGCATGTGGTTGAACAACAAGCGGCACAAAGCATGTGGTTGAACAACAAGCGGCACAAAGCATGTGGTTGAACAACAAGCGGCACAAAGCATGTGGTTGAACAACAAGCGGCACAAAGCATGTGGTTGAACAACAAGCGGCACAAAGCATGTGGTTGAACAACAAGCGGCACAAAGCATGTGGTTGAACAACAAGCGGCACAAAGCATGTGGTTGAACAACAAGCGGCACAAAGCATGTGGTTGAACAACAAGCGGCACAAAGCATGTGGTTGAACAACAAGCGGCACAAAGCATGTGGTTGAACAACAAGCGGCACAAAGCATGTGGTTGAACAACAAGCGGCACAAAGCATGTGGTTGAACAACAAGCGGCACAAAGCATGTGGTTGAACAACAAGCGGCACAAAGCATGTGGTTGAACAACAAGCGGCACAAAGCATGTGGTTGAACAACAAGCGGCACAAAGCATGTGGTTGAACAACAAGCGGCACAAAGCATGTGGTTGAACAACAAGCGGCACAAAGCATGTGGTTGAACAACAAGCGGCACAAAGCATGTGGTTGAACAACAAGCGGCACAAAGCATGTGGTTGAACAACAAGCGGCACAAAGCATGTGGTTGAACAACAAGCGGCACAAAGCATGTGGTTGAACAACAAGCGGCACAAAGCATGTGGTTGAACAACAAGCGGCACAAAGCATGTGGTTGAACAACAAGCGGCACAAAGCATGTGGTTGAACAACAAGCGGCACAAAGCATGTGGTTGAACAACAAGCGGCACAAAGCATGTGGTTGAACAACAAGCGGCACAAAGCATGTGGTTGAACAACAAGCGGCACAAAGCATGTGGTTGAACAACAAGCGGCACAAAGCATGTGGTTGAACAACAAGCGGCACAAAGCATGTGGTTGAACAACAAGCGGCACAAAGCATGTGGTTGAACAACAAGCGGCACAAAGCATGTGGTTGAACAACAAGCGGCACAAAGCATGTGGTTGAACAACAAGCGGCACAAAGCATGTGGTTGAACAACAAGCGGCACAAAGCATGTGGTTGAACAACAAGCGGCACAAAGCATGTGGTTGAACAACAAGCGGCACAAAGCATGTGGTTGAACAACAAGCGGCACAAAGCATGTGGTTGAACAACAAGCGGCACAAAGCATGTGGTTGAACAACAAGCGGCACAAAGCATGTGGTTGAACAACAAGCGGCACAAAGCATGTGGTTGAACAACAAGCGGCACAAAGCATGTGGTTGAACAACAAGCGGCACAAAGCATGTGGTTGAACAACAAGCGGCACAAAGCATGTGGTTGAACAACAAGCGGCACAAAGCATGTGGTTGAACAACAAGCGGCACAAAGCATGTGGTTGAACAACAAGCGGCACAAAGCATGTGGTTGAACAACAAGCGGCACAAAGCATGTGGTTGAACAACAAGCGGCACAAAGCATGTGGTTGAACAACAAGCGGCACAAAGCATGTGGTTGAACAACAAGCGGCACAAAGCATGTGGTTGAACAACAAGCGGCACAAAGCATGTGGTTGAACAACAAGCGGCACAAAGCATGTGGTTGAACAACAAGCGGCACAAAGCATGTGGTTGAACAACAAGCGGCACAAAGCATGTGGTTGAACAACAAGCGGCACAAAGCATGTGGTTGAACAACAAGCGGCACAAAGCATGTGGTTGAACAACAAGCGGCACAAAGCATGTGGTTGAACAACAAGCGGCACAAAGCATGTGGTTGAACAACAAGCGGCACAAAGCATGTGGTTGAACAACAAGCGGCACAAAGCATGTGGTTGAACAACAAGCGGCACAAAGCATGTGGTTGAACAACAAGCGGCACAAAGCATGTGGTTGAACAACAAGCGGCACAAAGCATGTGGTTGAACAACAAGCGGCACAAAGCATGTGGTTGAACAACAAGCGGCACAAAGCATGTGGTTGAACAACAAGCGGCACAAAGCATGTGGTTGAACAACAAGCGGCACAAAGCATGTGGTTGAACAACAAGCGGCACAAAGCATGTGGTTGAACAACAAGCGGCACAAAGCATGTGGTTGAACAACAAGCGGCACAAAGCATGTGGTTGAACAACAAGCGGCACAAAGCATGTGGTTGAACAACAAGCGGCACAAAGCATGTGGTTGAACAACAAGCGGCACAAAGCATGTGGTTGAACAACAAGCGGCACAAAGCATGTGGTTGAACAACAAGCGGCACAAAGCATGTGGTTGAACAACAAGCGGCACAAAGCATGTGGTTGAACAACAAGCGGCACAAAGCATGTGGTTGAACAACAAGCGGCACAAAGCATGTGGTTGAACAACAAGCGGCACAAAGCATGTGGTTGAACAACAAGCGGCACAAAGCATGTGGTTGAACAACAAGCGGCACAAAGCATGTGGTTGAACAACAAGCGGCACAAAGCATGTGGTTGAACAACAAGCGGCACAAAGCATGTGGTTGAACAACAAGCGGCACAAAGCATGTGGTTGAACAACAAGCGGCACAAAGCATGTGGTTGAACAACAAGCGGCACAAAGCATGTGGTTGAACAACAAGCGGCACAAAGCATGTGGTTGAACAACAAGCGGCACAAAGCATGTGGTTGAACAACAAGCGGCACAAAGCATGTGGTTGAACAACAAGCGGCACAAAGCATGTGGTTGAACAACAAGCGGCACAAAGCATGTGGTTGAACAACAAGCGGCACAAAGCATGTGGTTGAACAACAAGCGGCACAAAGCATGTGGTTGAACAACAAGCGGCACAAAGCATGTGGTTGAACAACAAGCGAGGGAGAGAGGAAGAGGTAAGAGGCGGGGATGGATGGTGAGAGATAGGGGATGGTGAGATAGGGGATGGTGAGATAGGGGATGGTGAGATAGGGGATGGTGAGATAGGGGATGGTGAGATAGGGGACGGTGAGATAGGGGACGGTGGAAGAACCAGAGAGGGGAACGCGGAGAGACTGGGAGAAAGGAGGGGAAGGAGAGCGGAGGGAGGGGAAGTGGGGGAGGGGTAGAGAAGGCGACAGGGTGTGGGAACAGAGGGCAGACGATCACGCACCTTTGCCTCCCACCATCCTCACCTGCACCCAGGTATTTTCTCGTCTCTCTCCCACACTCCCAACTCCTCCCCTCCCCCCCCCCCCCCCACACACATCTTACCACTCCCTGTTATCCTCATCCCCTGTTGCCTCCAGCCCTTCTCCCCACTCCCCGTGATCCGCAGTCCGTGTGATCCGCAGTCCGTGTGATCCGCAGTCCGTGTGATCCGCAGTCCGTGTGATCCGCAGTCCGTGTGATCCGCAGTCCGTGTGATCCGCAGTCCGTGTGATCCGCAGTCCGTGTGATCCGCAGTCCGTGTGATCCGCAGTCCGTGTGATCCGCAGTCCGTGTGATCCGCAGTCCGTGTGATCCGCAGTCCGTGTGATCCGCAGTCCGTGTGATCCGCAGTCCGTGTGATCCCCTGGACTCACCGCGAGGACGTGCCACTGCCCGGCACTTTGGAGCCGCAGCTGTGGCACTGCGTGTGGCTCGGACACAGGAACGGACCCTTGAAAGGCGACTGGTGGGGTGCAGAGGGGTGCAGAAGGTGCAGTGCAGAGTGATGGAGAGAGGTGCAGATGGGTGAAGAGGCACATAGAGGGGTGCAGAGGGGAGCAGAGAGACGAAGAAGTGGGTAGATGGTGCAGAGAGGTGCAGAGAATATTGTGAGGGACAGCAGCAAGGTGTTTGGGCTGCATGAAGCACAGCAGCTCACACACACCAACACACTTCCTCAAACACACACTCACACCCCCGCTCTCTCACTCACTCACCCACTCGCACTCATTCAACCACAGGCACATGCGCTCACCTTGGTGTGCAGCTGAGTGCATGCCACATGATAGCCCCTGTCACAGCGGTAGCAGCACAGGATGGACGACGGCTCCCCGTAGCGGTGGCAGGCCTGCTCGGGGTTTAGGGACAGGCAACACAAAGCGTGGAGGAAGAAATGTGTGAGATGGTGGCGAGGGGTGAGTTGGTGGTGAGGTGGTTCAGAGCAGCACAGGATTGACGACCGTAGCGGTGGCAGAAATGACAGAAAATAGCACGGTTTAGGTTCAGGGTTTCACGGTTTAGGGGCAGGCAAAGCAGAGGGGCGGCAAGCAGATTGAAACATGACAGCAGCAGAGAATGGATGAGGGTTCCCAGCAAGCACAGAGAGAAGAACCAAGGGCACAAGGGCACAAGAGAGAAAGGATGAAAGTTTGCTTGAGTTGACTCAAAAGACGAGCGCCTGTGGGGACTGCTGGGGCCCTGAGGGCATGTGACAAGATAGCCCATGGCATCATATCGCGCCCCCCCACCTCCATCCCCCCCCATGCCCCACCCACCCCTCATGCTGGGCTCCATCCCCCATGCTCCATCCCCCATGCTCCATCCCCCATGCTCCATCCCCCATGCTCCATCCCCCATGCTCCATCCCCCATGCTCCATCCCCCATGCTCCATCCCCCATGCTCCATCCCCCATGCTCCATCCCCCATGCTCCATCCCCCATGCTCCATCCCCCATGCTCCATCCCCCATGCTCCATCCCCCATGCTCCATCCCCCATGCTCCATCCCCCATGCTCCATCCCCCCTGCTCCATCCCCCATGCTCCATCCCCCATGCTCCATCCCCCATGCTCCATCCCCCATGCTCCATCCCCCATGCTCCATCCCCCATGCTCCATCCCCCATGCTCCATCCCCCATGCTCCATCCCCCATGCTCCATCCCCCATGCTCCATCCCCCATGCTCCATCCCCCATGCCGCGGCTCACCTCACAGCGAATGCACCCCGGGCACACCCAGTCCCGCCAGTCCAGCTTGCCTGCGCGCAACAAGGCAGTGGGGAGAGGGCATTGGGGGGGGGGGATGTGAGGGGGGGAACATGGGTGAATGTGGGCAAGAGGGGATGTGGGGCACGGGGGGAAGGGCATGGGAGGGAATGTGGAGCAAGCGAGGGGGATGGGGGGTGTGGGGCAACAGGAAGGGGGATGCGGGTGAATGGGTGGAAGGAGGGGCAAGGGAGGCGAATTGAAGAAGAGCAACAAGGGAAAGCAGCGGCACAAACCATACACAATGACACGCACCCCGTCCCACCCAAAACGCACCCCACCCCACAGCACACAGACAAAGTGAGCCTTGGCCAAGAGGCAGTGGCAGTGAAAGCTGCGGTGGCACTGGGGCACGGCAGCAAGCGAGTGGCGAGCAGCACAGGGCATGCCATAACAGCCACACGCATTGCATACCACTAGCTGGACACAGCAGGCACACAGCAGGCAGCAGACGTACCTCTGTTGTCAGCCATTCCCAGCAGGCAGTGGCGGTGGAAGGGCCGACCACACTGGGGGCACGGCACCAGGCGAGCAGCCCTCGCACTGCCCTGCTGCTCCTCTGCCCCACACAGCCCGCACCACACACTCCCCTCCCCGCCCTCACTCGCCTCCCTCCCCTTCCTCGCCCTTCTCCCTCTCTCCTTGTCCTCTCTTGCAATGCCTGCTCCTCTCTCCGTGTCCCCTCTCTCTCCCTCCTCCTGCTCATATCTGCCTGCCTCATCACCACCCACCAGCGTCATCCCCTCCTCTCCAGCCTTCTCGGGCACGCCCGCGGCTCTCGCTCTTGCTGGCATCCTGTCTGCCCCCTCTCCTTCTCTGCGCTCCTCCTCGTCCTCCTTATCCTCCTCCTCCCTTGCCTCCTCATCGTGACCATCCCCGCATCTCTTCTTTTCATCCCCTTCTCCCCTCCTTCCAACACCATCGTCCCTTCCCCTCTTCTCTCTCCCCCTCTCCTCATGCCGCTTCTCTCTCCCTCCCTTCTCTTCCTTCACCTGCAGTTCCAGATCGTCAACCCTCCCTCCCTCTTTCCTTTCCCTCCTCGCCACCTCCTCCTCACCACTCCTCTTCCTCTCCCTGCCCACATGTCGCCTCCCCTCCATCTGACTCTCCTTTTGGATCTCACCCGTCTCCCCCTTGGAGCCCTCTCCTCCTGCATCTATTCCCTCGCCCACCGCTGCACCCACTGACCCGTCTTCCCTTGCGCCCCCCTCTTCGCCTTCATCCACATGCCTCTCTGCCACAGCAGTATGCTTTCCATCCGCCTCCTCCCCCTCTCCTGCTCTCACTCTCTCCCCCCTCTTTCCCACCAACTCACCTCTCTCCTTTTCACGTTTCTTGCTCCTCCTCCCCTCCCTATGACGTTCCCTCTCACTCTCACCAACCCCATCCTCCCTTCCCCCTCCTCCCACCTTCTCTCCCCTTGGCCTCTGTGCCCCTGCCCTCTCCTCCCCCTTAGCAGTTTTCCTGGCCTCTGCCTCCCCGGAGACTTTTCCTCCACCCTTCACGTCTCCTCCACCCTTCATGCCTCCTCCACCCTTCACGTCTCCTCCACCCTTCACGTCTCCAACCATCTCTGCATGCTTCTTTCTCCTGTCCTTCTCTCCTTCAATATCACCCCTTCCAACCACTTCTCGCCGTGCTGCTGTCAGCGTCTCATCAAGTGCCGCCTTCCCGGAGTCAACCCCTCCACAGGCCACAGCAACACCCTCACCACCACCAACAGCAGCATCACCAGCACCACCAGCACCACCAGCATCAGTGTTACTGGCGGCCCCTGCTGCTACAGCAGCAGCAGCAGCGGCGGCGGCGGCGGCGGCGGCGGCGGCGGCGATAGCAGCGGCAGCAGCCTTGGACCCACCAACAGGTCTTCCCCTCTTTGCCGGTACAGCTTTTAGGAGCCCCCTTTTTTCTTCATCCGTCCGCCTCCTTCCCTTCTCATCCTCCCCCTTTTTCTCGCTCTTTCCTCCACTCCCTTCCTCTCCCCTCTCCTCTTCCCCCTCCCCTCTCCTCAGACCCTTCACCTTCTCCTCTCTCTCCCGTTTATTTGCTTCTTCCGCCTTTCCCTCTGCCAACCCTCCTTCCCCTCCCTCCCCTCGCTCTTCCCTCTTGCCTCTCTTCCCACTCTCGCCTCCTTCCGCTCCCGTTTCTTTGCTTCTTCCCTCCTTCCTCTCCCCTCCATCCTCTTCCCGTCCTGCCTCCCCTCCCTTCCGTCTCATCACAGATTCACCATCCTTCCCCTTCTCACCATCCTTCCCCTTCTCACCATCCTTCCCCTTCTCACCACGCCCCCCATCACTCACACCTAGAAGCTTCTTCCCTTCAGGAAGCTTCACTTTCACTCTACGCTTTATCTTCACCTTCACTCCAACCTTCCCTCCCGGCCCACCCACAGCACCGCCTCCCCCATCCTCCTCCCCACCAATACCACCCTCCTCTCCATCGCCTTCATGCCTCCCGCTCGCCGCCGTTGCACCTGTGGGTTCCACTTCCCCATGCGCTGACTTGTGGCCTGGACGGACAGTACCACCACTACCAGCACCAGCAGCACCAGTGGCACCAGCAGCACCAGCGGCACCAGCGGCACCAGCGGCACCAGCAGCACCAGCGGCACCATCACCAGTATCACCAGCACCAGCAGTACCAGCCGCAGCGCTAGCAGCAGCTGTGGCGTCAGTACCAGCAGCAGCACCAGAAGCAACACCGGAACTATTTGCCACAGCAGCAGCAGCATCCCTTTTCTTGTGTGAGATTATAATAACTCTCATTGGCTTTCGCGGCTTCGTTTCACTCTCTACAGGCACTGAAGTCGATCCACTCTGCACTGCAGCTGACTCTGCTTGCGCCACAGGCACTTCAGGTGGTTTTTCAGGTGAAACCAGCACAAGAACCTTCCGCTGAGCGCCGCCTTTGATCTTGATCGTGCGCCTCCTCTCCTTCACCGATTCGGGCGCAGCCCCAGCAGAGGTATCAGCAGCAGCACTGGCAGCAGCACCAGCTGAACGGCGGCCAGCACCGTCACGTTCCAACCCGGCTGCTGCAACAGCTGCACTGGCAGATGGGCCAGGGGAAGGTGCTGTAGCCACAGCTGTAGCACGCTTGGCAGGCGTGGAAGGCAAGGGGGTTGCAGCAGCTGCAAGGTGCGGTGCTGGTTGAGTGGATTTGGAGGAAGGAGAGAGCACAGGCTCTGAATCACATGAACCAGCCGCATGAGCACTAGCAGCACCAGCTGCACCGGCAGCGGCACCGGGAGCAGCAGCAGCACGAGCAGGGACAGCAGCAGCGGCCCCCAAAGGATCACGAGCAGAACTAACAGTCTTGCCTGCAGCTTTAGCTGCTGCTGCATCAGCAGCAGCGACAGCCGCAGCAGCAGCAGCGAGGAACGGAGGCAAGGGGTCAGAGCTATTGGCAGCAGCAGCAAGAGCAGCAACAACCACAGCAGGCAGCGGCGGGGGGGGCAGCCCGGCAGCAAGAGCAGCAGCCGTGGCCGCTGCATGCGCCCTCGCTGCCTTTGCTGCCGCGCCTGCTTTACCCTTCTTGCTCGCCGCGAGAGCCTTGGCCCGAGCCGACATCTTAGGCTTGGGAGGGCGCCTGGGGCCCGGGATTCTAGGCTTGGGAATGGCGTCCCCTGCGGCTGCTGCGCGTGCTGCTGCTAATGCAGGGTGGAGGAGCCCCTGTGGGTGATCCAGCCCCTGGAATCATGTAAGTGCGCATAAAAAAAGACAAGGGAGCAGGTGATAGAGGCTTTTCAAAGGAGCCTTAGCAAGATCAGTTTCCTAGGATCACGTGGAAGAGAAACAGCAAGGGCAAACGAGAGAAACTTTTGAGAAACCTAAAAAAAAACTCTCTGTACACACATACGTGGTCCTTAGCCTAGAGGGCGAGGTTGCACGTTTGGGTGCATCAGCAAGGGAAAGAGCGCAGGTTGAGGAACCTAGCGACAGAAAACGTTCGATGCAACGAAAATGACAAGCGGCATTGGCTAGCAGGAAAGTGCGAATTCGGAATCATGAAAATTGAAAGGGGTTGCGGGGAGAGGGAGGGAGAGGTTGGATGTTTGGCAGGGAAGGCGACGGGGGAGAGATGGGATGGGAGACTATGTTGCACTATACGCTTAGCCTGTTTTTCGTTTCACGTTTATGCGTTCACGTATAAACGGAAAAACGTGATACGGGGACAATACGCGATACGCCTGGACGGGCAGCCCGTCGAAAAAAAAAGTCTGTTGTGACCGTTCTCGCGATCTGTGATTCTCCGTAACCTAATTTGACATTTGAAAGTCGAATGCCTTCCCCCGCACCCACCCCCCCCCCTTCCACCGCACATAACCGCACACCACCTCCCAAATCCAACCCTTCCCTTCCAACCACACACTTCAGCTTTCACGTCGGCAGTCGGAAACCTATGTCTACCGTTAATGTCGCAGCTGGACGCAAGTAGGCAGAGGAGCGCAGATCTGGCATTCCGCCACCAGATCTGCGCGATTCTAGTATTCCGCCAGCAGATCGCCGCAGATCGGCAAGAAACATTGAATATAGGGACCATCACTCTCTCCCTAACACTGTTTTTCCCTGCCTGGAACTTTTTTCCCCTGCCCGGGACACCGTATTTTGAGCGTATTGAGGGGGCGGAAATCCATCGTACGGCGTTCGTACGTTAGCGTATAGTACGAACGCGACTGGTACGCGAGTCGCGTATTTTGCAACATAGATGGGAGAAAGGCGGGGCTGCAGTGGAAAAGGTTTCACGCACACACCTGGCCGCCAAATGCAGACTGCCCCCAGATTGCCTCCCCCCCACTGCCCCACTCCGAGCCAGGCATGTAACCAGCTGTGTGGTAACCAGGCGAGTGATAGCCCGCGGCAGTAGCTTGTGCGGGTTGAACGATCACCCCGCCACCTGGATGGGGAGAAAGGCAGGAATGAGGGGAGATGTCGGAATGAGGAAAGAGATGGGGGCGAGGGGAGGAGAGGTGGGAATGAGGGGAGAGGAGGGGACGACGGGAGAGATGGGGATGAGGGGAAAGATGGGGATGAGGGGAAAGATGGGGATGAGGGGAGAAAGATGGGGATGAGGGGAAAGATGGGGATGAGCGGAAAGATGGGGATGAGGGAGAGGAGGGGAAGAAGAACCTACAAGAGGAGCAATGGGAGGAAAGCACACCGTCCCAGTCATCCTCGCTGTCACCATCCCAGTCATCCTCGCTCTCACCGTCCCAGTCATCCTCGCTCTCACCGTCCCAGTCATCCTCGCTCTCGAATGGCGGAACGTCTATCTCCACCATTCCATCGTACAGTAACCCGCTCGTTACAGCATCATCCGTTACAACATCGTTCGCCACAGCAGCGTCCGTTACGGCAGCAGCATCCTCTTCCGCATCCCCTTCCGCCGTCCTCCCCTCTCCCCCCGTCCTCGTCCCCGCCGCCACCCCGAGCTTCCCCCGCTCCCACAGGGACCACGCAAACACAGCCGTCTGCGCGTCCACGTGGCAGGCAGCCAGTGGTCCGACGGAGCCGAGAGAGCATCGACATATGGGTCTCCTGCGGAGGGGAGTTACGAATTGGATCAAAGGGAAGCGGGAGAGTGTGCGTTAGAAACGGAAGTCTTGGCGCGCTTAAAGTACGTCAGAAGGGCTCATAGAAGTTGTGGGAGTTGAAGGGTAATTCGTCAAGGTTCGAAACGGTATTCCGTGGTTTTCTATCAATGCCGATCAGGAAAAGGGGAGAAAATAGGATCGCGAACACGAAAACCTATACGACTGAGCAACAGGAGCACTGAAGACACAATATCGACTAGCCATTATAACGAGTCACAATAGGAAGTAAATGGTTCAATTCCTTGATAATAAGGTCGGATGGTGCTTGGCGTCATAACAAGAGGCACCTTACAGCGTGAGCGGACAGCCAACGTGGAAAGTGGCCATAATAAGGTGTTAGAAGTGGTTCGCCGCTGCACCAACTTTAAATCGTGAGAACGACAAAGCATTTCACTATGGGCGATTAGGTGCGAGAGATTTAGGCTGGAAAAATGTGTCAGGACCGTGGGTGGGAGGAGCTAGCGGGGAGATCGTAAGGGACGACGAGGGTTTGAACTGAGGGCGGGTCCAAAAATTACATGTCTTCTTGAAACGATTGTTTCTATCATCGGCCTTGTTCGATTGCCAACGGGAACGGGAACGGGAGGGGGTGGTCATCCCGAGCCTGACACAACTAAGAGCGTGTTACGAACCCTTATTTTTTTTTTTTTTTTTCCATTCATTACTTCTGTAGCAATCGAGGTACTATCTGTTACAATGTAGCATAATTACGCAAGGAAAAGGAGTGGAAACGGGAAGAGAGGAGAAAAGGAGGAATAACGTGAGTAGAAAAAAGGAGAGAGGAAGGAACCCTTATTTTGGTGGCAGGCCCCGGTGCCTCAAAAAGTCGGGCCAAGCTAAGGAATAGGAATAGGAATATATTATGATCGTAATCATTGCGTACAAAATCACAGAATAGCAGAGAAAATGGCTGAAGTCGCCAACAACCTTAAGGTGTATGTGTTGAACACGTTATTCCCCTATCCTAGCGGACAGCCACCAGCTTCGCTGGGGAGTATCCTGTGAAGAGGATAGAACCAAGTTACGGGGGACGAAAAGGGTTTCCAAGGAGCCACGAGGTGCGGAGGTCAGGATGAATGGATGGGGAGCCGTCGGCTGCGAAGGAGATGAAGCGAAGTCGTTTAGCCGCACGAATGCATGGCGCTGATTTTTGCTGTTTTTTTGCAGATTGTTTAGAGCGTCGCCAAAGGAAAATCTTGAAGGCCAAGAGAAACTGAGCAAGAATGAGTTGCAAGATCTCGAAGCGAGAGGAGACGACTGTTACGAATAGTAACATTTAATTGTTACTGAGCACTCCTCACCGCAGCAAAGAGAAGCACGCAGTATCGAAGCAAGAAAGCGAACCGTCAGACGGTTGGAGTTTGACTCAAGTGTCAGACCATTGGGGCGCATCTGGACCGTCGGAAGCAGACGGCATCGGACAGCTGCAGGCAGGATGTTTTTGGCGGGAACAGTTACGAAACTGTACGCGCCGCACGGTTGAGAATGCGTTTGAATAAGGGAATGTACCCCTTAGAGTACATGGCTAGCTAGGTCGTTTCGTCTTCCCTGTACTCATATTTATACTTGCTGTATTTGCATGTTTTAATCATCTCAAGCATTTTACATTCACTCTGCTATTGAGGTCACGGGCCCACCAACTACATTTCCCTGTGTGCGAACCTTCCCGAGTAGATCCTGGTAATTGATCATTCTCTGATCGTAGCATGGTATGAGAGCGGCTCGGGAATCCTTCGCAACACCACTCCCGAAAATTGCGACGCTCAGAAAGTGGCGACCGGCACACGCTCGCGTGTGAGAATGGCCGGAGGATCTGGTGGTCAGACTAATCTGACGGCTGAAGCGCGCACCAATCCGGCTGCGACAAGCGAGGAAACGACTACGATCGGCACCGAAGTCCTCGCACAACTTCTTCAGCGACTCACCAGTCTGGAGCAAGGGCTCCAAACATTGCGGAACGGCGATGCGGGAACATCCTCGCAACCAACCCAACCGGGCCCAACTGGGCAGAACACCGTCCCGCAAACCTTCTCCCTCGACACAAATGGCTCAACCCCCAAGGCTCCCCGTCCCAGTGAAGAAGCAATTCTCTCCGCTCAATCAAAGTTTCTGAGCATATCAAAAATAAAGACAAGTTCCAGCTTTGACGGCAAAGACTTCTATACCTGGAGCTTCGAATTGGAGCTCCTGCTGCAGAACGCCCAAATCTTCCATTATTTCGACGGGAGCTACGCCGAGCCTGCCGAGGACACCGACGACGCCAAGGCGAGGTATTACAACGAATCACTGATGGCGTACGGGGTGCTCCTGCGGAACATGTCCCCGGCGGAGCAGCTGAACATTCGTTCGTACAAAACGACAGCTGCTCCAGCCCTCAACGCCTGGCGACATCTGACAGGAGTGTATCAGCCCAAGGACTCTGTCTCCTCGAGCCGACTGCTCCAGGAACTCCTGGAAACCAAGATGACCTCAGGGGAGAAGGTCAACACTTACCTTAACCGCTGTCGGAGCCTTCGCGATCAAATCGTGAAGTTGGGAAGCACGATATCTGAAGAAATCTTCGTTAACATCGTACTTCAAGGGCTCGGCCCAGAGTGGCGGCCCTGCAAGGCGCTTCTCCGACAGCAGGGGGTCATCTCGGAGGCCGCCCTCTGCGCCGCCCTTCTCGTCGAACAAAGGGATATGGATCAGCAGCGACCAGCGCCGCGACGAGAAAGAGAACGGATCGCCTTCTACGCCGACAACAACGAAGAGCGACGTCCGAGGCGCCTCTACTGCAAAATTTGCAGGACTTTCGGGCACCTGGCGGATCGATGTAAATACCGATCTCGCCCTCGCCAGACCAATCCGAGCACCTGGTCCGGCCGACAAGATGCACGAGGCGACGTGCGTCCAGCCCAAGGGTATCAACCCCAACCCGCGCGCAACCTGAACCCCGCGGTTCAGCATCAGCAGCAGCAGCCGCCACCGACTGCCACAGTACGCAATGTCATGAGCAACATGGCCATGACAGGCGAGTCACGTCGTCGCCGCGTGCGCTCACCATCACCTGAGCCAGCACCGCATCCCATTGGCGCGTTCTCTAACAACAACCCATTCAGTCCGCGCCACGACTTCACCGACGACGACGACCAGGACTGGAATCTCCCAGTCCCGCTGCTTGAGAGTCCCCCGCACGTACCTGACATGCGGGTGGCGCCACTTGATTGGCTCTCGCGCGAGCAATTCCTGAAGTTCGACACTGCGCATATCGTCACGCCGCGACTGGCGCTGCTCGCACGTGACAACAACAAGCGCTACAACACCTGGTACCTGGACAGCTGCTGCGGCCAGCATATGGTAGGCTCCGAGCGTTACATATCCAACGCCGTCGCCACCCCCACAGTCACTTACGTCACAGTGGCGAACAACACGCGCCTGCGCGCAAGGCATCGTTGTGCTCAAAGCACGCGGAAGCCGCACGCACATCACGCTCAACGATGTGCTGATCGTCCAGAACCTGCGCTTCAACCTCCTGTCCGCCGCACAGCTCATGGATTGCGGCGTAGAACTCAGCACAGATCGCGCGACGCGCGACATTCTGCTGCACTACGAATCGCGCACCTTTTCCCGCAGGCAGATCGGACGAGCACACTCCGAAAATGGAGTGTACATCCTGGATTTCGATATTCCCGACTGCAGCGGCGACTCGCACGAGCTGATTGACCTCGTGCCACTGCGATTCGAACACATCCACCGCAGGGACTGGAAGCACCCTGACGGCAGGCCGTGGGTGCCGCATCATCCCCACCCACGCGAAACGGAACTTCACAACCCCGATCCAGATGGAATCTGCAGGGATTGTCACACGCCGACGACCTCGACGAGCGCGATTGCAGGCCGCGGACTCGCCGCCATCGCGGAAGCAGAGCGCAACGCGCCCCCCGAGGAAGGGATGTCGCAACTCGAACTCGAAGTCACCACGCATGGCGTGTTCGGCACGCCTGAGCACCCCCTCACAGGTCCCCCTTCTCAACATCTTCGAGGGATGCTTCGTGGAACTGGTGTCGGCACCTTCGATGCGCGTGGCATGCCACGCCCCTACACCCGCGAGAATTTTCTGCAGATTTACCCACATTGGCGCGACCCCACGGCAAAACTCACCGTGGAACAGGAGGAAGAACTGGCGCGCCGCGAAGCCGAGGAGCTTCGCCAACAGAGCCTCGCCGAGGCACGCGGAACGTTCACCTGCGCCGCATGGGGCGCCGAAGCTGAAGAAAGCGCCACCAATGAAGGGGGGTGGGAAAACGTCGGCGGTTGGGGAACGACTGAGGCTGGCGACTGGGGCAACACCGGCGGATGGGGCGCCGCATCTGGCGCCGACACGAGTGGCTGGGGCACCCCTACTAGAGGCTGGGGGACTTCCCGCGAAGACCAAAGGGGGGGAGAAGAAGAAGCTGGAGAGTCTGCAGTTGTTCCCCTCGGTCGTCCCCCACGCCATGTCCCACTCGCGTTACCTCCTCCTGATAACCCACCGCGCCGCGATCCATGGGACACCATCGCCTGGGGCAACGAGCCGTCAACCCCGCGTCGCACCGCTTACGGACCGGCTCCCGAACCACGCGAACCAACCCTCGTCCCTGGAACCATCCCTGGGACCAACATCCCGCTCTCTGAAATTCGTGACAGAGAATTCCTGGCGCTGATGCTCACCACCGCGACAGAAGAAGAAGAAGCAGAGGAAGAAGCATCGGAACCTGCTCCTGTACCTGACGAAGACCCTGAGGAAGCGCGCGCGCGCTACATGCGCACCTCCGGCTTTCGCGCTGACGACGCACTCTGGCACCAGCGCCTCGGACATCCTTCTCGCGCAACGCTGAAAAATTGTATCGACGCAGGCGTCTTCGCTCCTGGCGCACTCCTGCGCCCTGATGGCTCCGAAGTGAGAGGCGCAACGCATCCGCGCAATTGCACAGTCTGCCCCGAAGCTGCGCTGAGCCACCAACCGTTCCCGCTACTCGAACCTGGGACGAACCGCTACCCCAAACTGCACAAGGTGTACAGCGATTTCCTGAACGTAGGGCATTGCGGAGTCGAGGACGAGCTATACACTCTTACCTTCATTGACGCTGGAACACGCTACGTGTGGGTCGTGAACGTGGAGACGCGCGACAGAGCCTACGAGGTGTTTCGGCTCTGGCTAGCGCATGCGGAGCGGCAATCTGGAAAGAAGCTAAAGATCTGGCAATCTGACGGCGCAGCAGAGTTCAGGAGCAACCAGATGCAAACTTACCTGGCGCAAAAGGGGATCGAGCATCACATCTCTCTCCCCTACGCACATCAGCAGCAAGGCGTAGCGGAGCGAACGAATCGCACACTGATGACGAAGGTGCGGGCGCTGATGAAGCAGTCGAAGCTGCCGCCGATCTACTGGACCTACGCAATGCACCACGCTGTACGGGTGCACAACCTGCTTTCAACCACCGCGATTACTGGTAACCTGTCCCCGCACGTCAAGTGGACTGGGACAAAGGGGGACACATCGATGCTGCGCGTATGGGGGTGTATGGTCCAATACCGCCCACCGACCTCAACCATCGGCAAGTTCGCCAGCCGCGCGCGTTGGGGGATCCACCTCGGCATCAGTCACGAGTACAAGGCATGGATCGTGCTGGACCTCCTCAGTCAAAAAAACACTCACGCTCGCGACGTAATTTTCTACGAGCGTCTCTTCCTCGACCAGTTCCGCGACGACGAGCAGAGGAATGCAGATCGCGTTTACGCGAACAACGGCCACAGCTACGCAACGCCCGAAGACGAAGCCGCTGCAGCACTTCTAGAGCAGGACACCAGGGCCGAATTCACTTGGGAAGATCGGCGCAGCAGCGACAACGACGATGATTCCTCAGGAGGAGGAATAGGCGGAACGGGCGGAAGCGGCGGAGGCGCAACACCATCAGCACCACCTGAACCTGAGAGCGACGATGATGACGTGCAGGAAGTCGTCCCGCAGCGTCACCACGACAGTACCGTCTCAGGACTACAACTGCTCGGACTTCACACCGCAACCTCGAAAGCGCCGCGCGTCATCGAGCCCCGAAACCCGCGCGAAGCCCTCTCTGGACCACACAGCAAGGAATGGCGTGAGGCAATGGACGCGGAAATCAAGGCACTGGAGTCACGCGACACCTGGGTGCTCGTTGACCGCGCAGCAATCAAAGGTGCAAGAATCCTTTCGGGGAAGTGGGTCTTCCGCGTGAAGACCGCAGCTGACGGAACGATTGAGCGCTTTAAAGCGCGCTGGGTGGTTCGCGGCTATGACCAGAGGCATGGGATCGATTTCGACCAGACATTCGCCCCCGTCAGTCGCCACACCTCCGTCCGCATCTTGCTCGCTATCGCAGCTGCAAGGCACCTGCCACTCCGCCAGATCGATGTTAAAAACGCGTTCCTATACGCGTTAGTGGACGCTGTGATTTACGTGGAGCAGCCACACACCTATGGCGAAGGTGACTCGCGCGTATGTCAGCTGCGCAAGTCACTGTACGGCATCAAGCAGGCTCCAAGGCTGTGGCAGCAGTACTTGCACAACATCCTGCTTGAAATCGGGTTCAAGCAGATGCCCCACGACCTAGGGATGTACCGCCGCGATTTCCGCGGGGAATACATCCTCCTCACGGTCTACGTCGACGACTTGCTCTACACGGGCTCAAACAACGAGCTGCTCGAACAGTTCGAGAAGGCTTTGGCGGGGCGCGTCGACATCACGTGCAACTACGAGGTGAAGCAGTTCCTAGGCCTCAACATCTCCTACGCGCCTGAAGCCATTCATCTGTCAGCAGCTAAGTACGCAGAGGAGTTAGGGAAGCGGTTCAAGATTTCACCCGCACCTCTCTCGACTCCCTACCGAACCCCCGGACCGAACCACAAACCTGACAACAAAGCCCTATCCCCTGCTGGAATTCAGACTTACCAGCAGCAGCTGGGATGCCTCCTCTTCGCCTCTGTCACCTGCAGGCCAGACCTCTCCTACATCGCAAGTCAGCTTGCCCAGCACTCACGGAAACCAACGGCTGAAAATCACCTGGACCTGCAGCGCGCTTTGCAATTTTTCGTCTCAACGCCCAAGATTGGGCTGTGCTACTCAACTGCACCAACCCCATCCTTCAATCTCGTCGGCTATGTGGATGCCGATCATGCAGCAGATCCCGACAATCGACGGTCCAGGACCGGCTTCCTGTTCCGACTCGAACCAATAGGGCCAATCTCCTGGAACTCACAGAAGCAGGAGCTGGTTGCCCTGTCGTCAGCCGAAGCAGAATTCATCGCAGCAACCGCAGCAGTTCGCGAAGGCCTCTACCTACAGGAACTCCTGCAGGAGGCGAAAATTCCAGCTTCGCCAACTTTTCGACTTCACTGCGACAACCAGAGCGCGATTCGCATCGCGAACAAACCTGGTTTCGTCAATCGCACCAAGCACATTGCGCTGCGATATTTCTTCGTGAAGGACGAAGTGGACAAGGGCAAGGTCAACTTGACCTATTGCCCGACCGGTGACATGGCAGCGGACTTCCTCACGAAGCGACTGCCACGCCAGCAGTATCAGCACTGCTCCGAACTCAGCGGCGTGGTCAAGCAGGTCAAATCGAGCTACGGCCAGGAGTGAAGGGGGGTGTTACGAATAGTAACATTTAATTGTTACTGAGCACTCCTCACCGCAGCAAAGAGAAGCACGCAGTATCGAAGCAAGAAAGCGAACCGTCAGACGGTTGGAGTTTGACTCAAGTGTCAGACAGTTGGGGCGCATCTGGACCGTCGGAAGCAGACGGCATCGGACAGCTGCAGGCAGGATGTTTTTGGCGGGAACAGTTACGAAACTGTACGCGCCGCACGGTTGAGAATGCGTTTGAATAAGGGAATGTACCCCTTAGAGTACATGGCTAGCTAGGTCGTTTCGTCTTCCCTGTACTCATATTTATACTTGCTGTATTTGCATGTTTTAATCATCTCAAGCATTTTACATTCACTCTGCTATTGAGGTCACGGGCCCACCAACTACATTTCCCTGTGTGCGAACCTTCCCGAGTAGATCCTGGTAAGCGATCATTCTCTGATCGTAGCAACGACGCCGTTAGATCTCTGAGTGCAGCGAGCATTCCAAAGGGCCTTGGCCGCAGCGCCTACCAGGAGGCTCCAGGGGGCAGACTGGCCAGCTCGAGAAGGGAGCGGAAACATGATGTGCTCGGTCGGAGGGGAGCAGCCCAAGTGGCGTCGAGCAACTGAGCCCAATGCTGCCGTCACATCAGGGGCTGCTCCGCAGACAAAGAAGATATGTGAGATAGTCTCAGTCTCGTTGGAGGAGCAGCGCGAGCAGCGGCCTCTATCTGCAGAGAACAAGAACCGGGTGCCTGAAAGAAGAGAGCGCGTGTAGAAGCGGTATAGAAGATCGCGTTGAAGGCTGGGTTGCTCGCGAAGGAAGGTGTGGGAGAGATCGGGGAGGGGGACGGGTAAGGGGGAGGAGAGAGCGAGGGTCCAACGTGAGTCGTGGTCGAGCGGGCGCCGCGTATAAAGTAGTTGTCGGATAGCAGCGAGGCTCGGGACACCATCACGAAGAGTCTCCAACCGCGCGCCGAGCCCTGCACCTGTATGTAGCGGACCAGCCACCCAATGACCTTGGGTGTGAACCGCCACGACATCTTTAATGTGGAAAACCCCAGACTCAAAGGGTGCACGCTCAAAGAATCCGTTTGACAGTACCCGATGAAGGGTGGCGGAGAGCGTGAAAGGAGGAGAGAACGAGGTTGATTGTAGAATGAGGGAAGGGGGGGAGTGTAGGTCTTCCTTTGGAATGAAATAGTCCCCCGGGGATGCGGAGGCAAGGGAGGGGGCACGAATCTCGTCCTTCCATGGTTTAGGAACAACCTCCAGGACTGCACAGATAACTTGGTAACTGGGTTGAAGGTCGGTGAGCGGGTATTTGGTGGCAAACACGTTTTCGGGGATAGGACCGAGCCCGTCGAGTGAAATTTGGATAATGTCGCCGAGCCTGACCCGTTTAGACAGTAGAAACCGCTCAAATTTGGTGGTACCAAAAGGTCTACCGTTGGGTTTGAGGATGAAGCGGTTGAACGCTGTTGGTTCAGCAAGAAGGCACATCGAAGAGAGAGGCGGAGGGGCCACGGCAGTAGGGAGGGACAGGAAGTCTTTGAGTTCTGCAAGAGCGCAAGGGGGGATGGAGGGGGGCAGAGTATTGGCCGACAGAATCAGCTTGTGGGAGAGGAAAGCGTGGGAGCCAAAAGGAAGGGAGATTGCACAGCGTGCGACCTCCTCAGAGGGCGTAGCACCAAAGCGGCGGAGGGCACGTTGGATCGTGAGGGCCTTAATTTGGATGGATGGGCGGGTAGCGCCAAGGCCTCCGTGTCTCGTCGAGTTGTAAAGAAGCCGGTATGGGATTATGGGCATGGCAAAACCAGTTTCCTTAAACCGGGACGATGAGAGGAAGGTGCTCACTACAGTATCCAGCCTAGCAAGTATGTCAGGTGGGGGAGGCTGGAACCGACCAGGGAAGGAAAGAACTGAATTAAGGAAAACAGAGGCAAGAAACTTGCGACATGTGGCGGTCGCGCGGAGGGCAGCTAAGAATTTGGTGGAGCGTTCGATGCGAGACAGAGTGGTAGTCCAGGTGTCGGTGTTGGATAGATTTTTCTCGACAAAAATTCTGAGAATTCGTTCAGCCTCATTGGAAGCTCGTATAGGGATGTGACCTGCGTGGGTGATGAAGTGGTCCGGGATATTGAATGGGATAATGGAGCATTTATTCCAGTTCGGGCGTTCACCAGAGACTGCCGCAAAGATCAGGAGATGGGCAGTGGCCGTTTCGAGCTCCTTGTCGGACGAGAGGAAAATTGTAACGTCATCTGCATAGCAGGCCATGAGACGCTTGTTTGTAGGCGATAGGGGGAAGCCAGGGAGGTATAAAGACATGTAGCGATGCAAAATCTCGATGGCGCAGACGAACAGGAGGGGGGCGAGTGGACAACCCTGCCGGACGCCAGTGCGCACTGGAAAAGGGGCACCGTCCATGTTATTGACAAAGATGCGGGTAGAAGTGTTGGGGTGCATGAGGCGGATCCACTGGATGAAGCCCTCCGGGACGCCAAGATGGGAAAGAGCCTGAAATAAGAAAGGCCGGTCTAGCAGATCGTAGGCCTTACGAAAGTCCACCGTCAAGGCGAGGAGGGGTGTGTGTGTGAAGGTAGCCCAATCCATAATATCGAGCGTGTCGTTAATTGTATCGCCGATCTTGCGGTGTTTGATGAAAGCCGTTTGAGAAGGATGTATAACGAGAGGAAGGAGGCGTTGGAGTCGGTTGGCCAAGCAGAGGGCTAGAACCTTGTAGTCTGCGTTCATGAGGGTGATGGGGCGTAGATTATCTATTAGGGAGGCTTCCCCTTTTTTGGGGATGAGCACCGTCCGACCGGAGAGCATAGAGGGGGGCAGGGAGGAGGGCGGGTAGGCCAGGAGGGCCAGGAAGGCCGGAGCGAGGCGAGTCTTGTAAAACGTGAATAATTCTCCAGGGAGTCCATCTGGGCCTGGGGTCTTCCCTTGCGAGAGCTGACCAAGGGCTTTACCAACTTCAAGAAGGGAGAAAGGGGCTGCGAGTGTAGAGGCGAGGGCAGGGGGGGGGGAGGAACGAGGGATGTGTTCCCAAAAGCCGGGATTGGGGGAGGCGGATGGGACGCCACTGTAAAGAGATTCGAAGAAACTAGAACAGGCAGTTGTCATGGAGGGGAGATCGCTAATAGTTTGTCCACCAGGCAGGGTGAGGGAGGTGATAAGGGAGGCTTTAATGCGGGAGTTCAGTCCTGCGAGAAGAGATGAAATTCCCATCTCGCGATGGCCCTCGACCTTGAGTTTGGCTTTGAGAGCAAGTTCAGCGGCTTTAGCGGCAGTGTATCTTGCGAGCTGCTGCTGGGCCTTGCAAAGGCGAGATGCCGATTCCGAGTCTAAAGGGGAAATTGCAGACTGTAATTGTAAGTGGTTAATAAGGTGATGAAGATGCTCAAGCGTCTTGTGTACACGTCGTCGTTCATGGTTGGAAAATCTTTTGAGGCGTAGCGTGAGGGCATGTTTCCATGCATCCCATTCTTCCGGAGACGGAGAGGGGGGCAAGGCAAGGATGTGCTCTTCCAAAGCCTTGGCTATGTACGGCCGCGAGACGAGAGATGGGCTAAGCCGCCATGGACGGGGGGCTCTGGCGGGAAGCTCGACAGCTATGGAGCAGAGTGGAGCGTAGGAGTGGTCAGATATGATGAGGTGGGTGAGGAGGTAAGGGGAAGCGGCAAGTCGGATCTGTAGTGAGGTAGAGATGTACATCCGGTCCAGTCGGGAGGCAGGTGGTGGTGCTACAAGCGGGTGGCCTGTCGATGGGGGGGTAGCGGGTCGAGGTGGTGTGGGTGTAGGGACCGCAGGTGTGAGGATCTAGGATCGAGCTCAGAAAAGAGAATGTGAATTGAATGATCACCTGGGTACAACACGAGGCTATATATAGGCTCGACACAAGGGGCAGTAACCAGGTGTTACGCGAAGGTTCTGGGGGTCGCGAAGCGTCCCGAACAGACCCTTCCCGAATTTGGTAGAAGGCAATTCGGTGGCAACCGAATAGCCCAGAATTCGGTGTACGCAACCTAGTTCGGTGCTATAACTATAATAAAATATAGGAAAGCACCTAGCCTAGGAATTCAAGCAATTCATGCATGCATAAAATAAACCTAAGCTAGCAATAGCGTAATAAGATAAAAGAAAGCATGCATAGCTGGCATAAGCCGTCGTACTCTCACAGGAGGCGGAAAGCCTATAGGTGGTGCTGTGGCTGGTTGGGGTAGCAGAGGTCGGGGCGTGGCACGCGGACGACCGAAGTAGGAGAAGACAGTAGCGTTAGGGTGGAGTGCCCAGAAGGTATCGACGAGCGAATGTTCGGACAGAAGAGTCTCGATGGCGGAGGCTTCACTACGTTCATGACCGTGTAGGGGGCGGTTGCGATCAGAGGGGTGAACCACAGAGTTAAAGTCCCCAACGAGTAGGGTTGCAGATGCAGCAGATGGGGAATCCAGCATCGGAGCAAGGCGTGAGCGCCACCAAGGGCGTCTATCAATAGCATGAGGCGGAGCGTATATGGCATGAGTCTAATTTGCTCGAGATGGAAATTGACGTCGACAGAAAGGAGACGTCCGTCGGTTGACGGCGTGTATGAGGTAAGAGAGATGGATTTGTTAAAAACAAGAATAGAGATTCCTCCGGGAGAGGGACGTGAGCCAGACGAGCGAGTGTTACAATAGCGGGCCATGGTGTGAGCCGATGCATGTGGGCGAAAGCGAAGGTCTAGCCGTTTCACGTTTTCTGTGAGGCGAGTATCAACTAGTACAGCAATGTCAATATTCCGTCCGAAAAAATTGAGCCATCCTTTAAGGGCGTTCATTTTAAAAGGGGCGTTTATTCCGTTAATGTTAATGCATAAGATTCTAAGGTGTGTTATCATGGTGGGCAGATTAAAGCCTATCGCACACCGAAGCGTGCGAATCCACAGGCTGATATGTGAGGAAGAAGAAACAAGTAGCAAGATAAAGTGTAACATATAATTGCGTTGTACACAGCATAATAAAGGCAGCAGCAAGCCAAGGATAGAAACATAGAGCAATCCAAAGACCACCGACCTGCGGCTGGGCAGGGAAGTCGGCAGTTTGGGAGGTAGCAACAAAGGTGGTAGCAATGTAGCAAGTAGCATGAAACTTTGCTAAACGCAATAGGGTGGAAGCAGTGCCGGAGCAAGGATATCAAAATGTGAAAGTGTATCAACCACCGATCTAAAGCTGGGCAAGAAAATCGGCGATCTGCGGAAGAGCCACGAAGGTCATGGCCTTCCACCCGGTGTACTTTTCCTTCGCGGCAGGGAGGTGGGCTGCAGAGAGCTTCTTTGCGACGTACGGCTCGGAGGCAATGTGGGCCATAGCCGAGTCGAGGGCAGCGCCGCAAGTCAGGTTGCACAAGGCACAAGTCCATGGCTCGACATCCGCGTCGAGACCAATGTAGAGCATCCCGGGGTCGTTGCGAAAGGCTGCGGGCGCAGCGCGAGAGCCGAGCGCCTGGCCTGGAAGGCAGGGGATGGGGTGGGGAGTCGAGGGGCAGCAGGAAAGTAAGGAAGTGGATGGGGCAGTTTACGCGAAGTGGGGGCAGAGAATCTGCCCATGGAGGGGATCCCAGCTGAGAGCGGGGGAGGAGGGGCAGTGAGGGAAGGTCCAAGGTGGGGGGCAGGAGAGAACTGCAAGTGCAGGGCAGGTTCATGGGGCAAAGCCTGGGGGTGGGGTAGGGCATAGGACGGGGTGAGTGATAACGAGATGGGAGCGGCAGGTTGGGGGAAGGGGGAAGGTCGCAGGCGCATCCCGGAGGCCAAGAGGAGGTCGGCCTGCGCTGGGACTGAGGCCAGGTACAGGGTAGGGAGGACATGTGGGGCATCTGTGGGGGGGGGGGAGTTGGGAGCATTACACTCGCAACGCAGGAGCATAGAAGCAGGCCTGAGGAAGAGGTGGGATGCTCTGGGTAGTAAGGGTAAGGAGCGAAGGGGCGGGTTTGAGGGTTTAGAAGAGTCGTGCACAAAGCCCGTGAGCCGGGCAGCGAGCCAGAGGGGGGGGGGGAGGCAGAGTTCAGGGTGGGGAGGACAGGGCAGAGAGAGGCAAGATGGTGGTGAGAGGAGATTCGCAAACGCAGCCCATGAGCCTGAAGTTTGCCTTGCTAGGGAAGTGGAGTTTAGGGTGGGGTGCGGAGAGCATAGAGGGTGAGGACGGGTCTGGAGCAGCGGGGGGATTGCAAGCACAACCAGTGAGCCGAGTAGCTGGCCTGAGAGAGAAGTGGGGCAGAAACCGAAGTGGGGAGGGCAGTGAGGGGAGGGATTGTGAAGGCAGGCGAGGAGATGGTAAATAGCAGAGGTAGAGCCAAAACAGCCAAGTGGACGAAGGATTAAAGGCAGAAACCAGGGGGGAAAGGGCACAGAGCAATGGGGCGGCCTTACTGTTGGCTTGCTGCAGCTGAGCGACCGAGAGCTGCTGTCTGTTAGTCAGGCGCTGCCTGCGCTTGGTGGGGAAGATCTCATGGTCTGCGTCACGGTGATTGTTGCCGCAAAAGGTACACACATGAGAAGAAATGTTGAGCAGAGCCGGGGGCGAATCAAATTCGAAGTTGAGGACCGCGGGGATGCGGAGAAAGTCGGGGTCATCCTGCGGGGGTAGCGGGATTCCAGTGAAGATAGGCAGATACATATCCTCATATGGGTCCTTGATCTGGTGGAAAAACTGGAGGTCAGCGAGCCAAGAGGGTTCGCCCGCAACGTCCTGGTGCATCAGGAAGGTGCGGAGGTCCTCCGGGGCGTAACCCGGGGGGACGTTGCGAAGGGTCAGCGTGGCTGCGCCTCCTGCTTTAGCCGAAGTGAAACGCGGGTAGCGATCAACGTGAACTTTCAGCACCACAGAGCGGGAGTTGGGGAGATGGAACGTGAGCGGGAAGAGGCTTTTGAAGTCGTCGGCGTCATCTTGAGAAGGCCAGGAAAAGCAAAGGCGTGCGTATGCACGGCGTGGAATACGGAGCACCTCTCCAACCGAAGGCTGGAACTCCGGGACGACATTGTTACGGAAATGAAACGGCTGCAGGTGCCTCGAAATGCGCGTTATCAGGTCGGCGCGGATAGCCTCCGCTCCCGCCTCAGGGAAAAGGATTTCCACCACCGCGAGTCTCCTGGGGGGCATAACAGGGATCAAAATCGCCGCGCGTTGGCGGCGAAGGTTGCGCGAGATGGCTAAGGTGTCAGCTTGGTCCGCCTGGTCCTCAGGAACGCCGCTGGCAGCAGCAGAGGCGCGCTGGCGCGGCGGATCTGCTGCAGATGGAGAGATAACAGGGGCAGCAGAGGGAGCCGCAAACGCGGGTGAGATAGGAGGTGCAGCGGAGGGAGGAGAGGCCACCGTGGTAGCGGGAGGCGCAGCAGACAGGGCGTGGGCGTTGGGCAGCTGGCCTGAGGTATTCGGAACAAGGGGAGCCGCGGAGGGGGGGGCAGGGGCAGTGTCAGAGACGTCTCCTTAAGTGCACAGCTTCTTGGGGGCGGGGGCGCCATCGGAAGGAGGATCTGCGGGGAGCGAATCGTCAGGGAGGTCGTCCAAATGAAGCTCTTCAACGTCGAGCTGCAGTTCGACGTCAGCGAGCATCATCTCCTCATCCGGGTTATGACGCTGGGAGGCCATGGTTGGTGGGTAAGCGCGGCGGAGGGCGTTGGGGTGAGCAGAAGAGGGGAAACGAGGCAGAAGGCGATGAGGGAACTGAAGGGGGAGGCATGTTAAATACATGGCAGCCGAGCAGGAAGGGGGGGTTTCCACCAAGAGGGAGGTGGACACGAGGAGACGGGAGCATAGGCAGCGGCCATAGCGAGCCCAAGGCGACTGGGTGCTTAGGTGGCATCCCGAGTCAAAGAGGTAGGCAGCAAAGAAAGTTCTAGAGCGAGCAGTATGGACAAGGACAACGTGATCGTGACCAGCGATTTGAAGGATAGAGCCTGAGAGACGTTTCTCGAGTGAAGGGCAGACAGCACGTAGGTCAGGGGCCTGGAGTGCGTTAAGGATGGGGTGTATTTCCGATTTACTGCCGAAAAAAGATTAATATGACATAGGCGGGGTGACCAGGAAATAAGAAAAAGGTACGGTGTCGAAATCAGTGTGAGACTGAAGATCTACAAACCGTGGCTGAGAAGTAGGCAGAAAGCAGCGAGGCAGAAAACTATGAAGGTTCGCGAAAGCTAGAAACCGCGTTGACGCATGTGTCCTGGGAATCGAGAAAAAGGAGGAGAAGGCAGAAAGCAGCAACATGGACCAGCAGCAGCAAAGCAGCAGAAAAATCTGCAGTTTGGGAGAAGGCGAGCTTACCGTCAGCCTGAGAGAAATCGGTGAAGGGAAACCTGCTGAAGGCAGCGTGGCGTAAATTTCTACAGACCCAGAGTTTACGGGAAGGTCGCGCTATGGTTTCGTGGCAGAGAAAACGCTGTTGTGAAGGTTCTAGAAAGGCCAGATCTCGATCTGAGTCGGAGAGACACATTGGCAAGCAACGATCGCAAAAAAACATGGGACACCCGATTATGGGGCATCAGCGCCGATAAGCGGAAAGAGTTCCGCCAAACGTGAGCGGGGGGGCCAAGCTAAGGGGTACGTAACACGCTCGAGACAAAACTTGAGTGAAACGCCAGATGAAACCCTCGTACGGTGGCGAGAGACTGCGGACCTAATCGGGTACCCATCTCAACCGATACGATTAGGCATAGATGGACTACCAAAGTTTTGCAGCTAAGCTGCCCCAAACACTATAACCATTCCAACCAAGAAATTTAGCCCTAGAACTCCCTCAAATGTTTTCATTCCTGCCCGAAATTTGTTCTCGTTCTGCATGGAGCAGGTGAACGGGAACAGGGGGGAATTTTGCTTCGGGTTCACTGTACAACAGTTGCCAGCGCGTTGTGCAACGGGAGAGAAATGGGAGGAGCCAAGCTCGGAAATCCCCGAGCATCCCAAGGTGGTTCGGTCTCAGTCGCATGGACGTCGCCATGCGATTTTCCCCTTTCGAGCCTGGTTTCGAGGCAGGAACTCCTGTTCCCATACACGTTCCCATTGGCTTTCGAACAAGGACATCATATCCAGACGTATTTCCGGACACGCCTTAGGGTGCGTCAGATCCGTTGTCGGAAAAATCCGGCCGGCCGGAATTAGCGAAGGTAACGCATTCGTAAAACTTTTCGTGCAATTCGCCAAATCCGCCATTTATAAAAAAATTGATGGCCGGTTCAGCATTCGGGAAAGTTCCGACGTGCAGTCGACTCGAAAGTCGACCAATTTGTCAACCAGAGATCGCTACAGTAACTACGCGACATCGCCAACTCGTGAGACGCAACGTGTCACACAAGTACTGGATCTGCGACTGCGTCGCACAATCCGGCCACCCTCGCGACCTGCTAATCTGACACATTTGCAAAGCGGCCTGCAAATCGGCCACCAAATGTGTCAGATTTTTCGGCCCTGTAAATGTGGCCGGATATTGGTCGTTTTTTAAGTCGACCATGTTGTCGACTTTGGCGAAAGATTTAGTCGACCAAATTGTCGACCAAATTCCAGCCAAATTACCTTGTAACTGATCTGACGCACCCTTAGAGAACACTCCATGTTAAGAATGGTAAACACTATTGTACACTCCTAACCGTAGCCAAGCGAAGCACGCAGTAACGAGGACGAATGCGAGGAGTCAGAGTTGACTCGAAGCGACGCACACGGTTGGAATGGATCTGGACCGTCGGAGCAGACGGCATCGGGCAGGTGTAGACTCGAGGAATTGGCGGGAACAGTTTCGTAACTGTTCGAGTCGCACGGTTGGTTTGAATTCGAATAAGGGAATGTACCCTTTAGAGTACATGGCTAGCTATGTCATTTCGTATTCCCCTGTACTCCTATTTATATCCTTGGATTTGCATGTTTTAATCATCTCAAGCATTTTACATTCACTCTGCTATTGAGGTCAAGGGCCCACCACTACCAACTACTCAAGCGAACCTTCCCGAAGTGATCCTAGGGTCGACCCCTTTTCCGATCGTAACATGGTATGAGAGCGCCTCGGGCATCCTTCGCATTGCCAACTCCGAAATCTTCGACGACGGAGAGTGGCGTCTGGCACACGCTCGCGTGTGAGAATGGCCGGAGGATCTGGTGGTCAGACGAATCTGACGGCTGAAGCGCAGTTGCTTCAGCGACTCACCAACTTGGAGCCGCAACAAGCGAGGAAACAACGACGATTGGGACCGCCGTCCTCGCACAGTTGCTTCGGCGACTCACCAACTTGGAGCAAGGACTCCAGACATTGCAGGCTAGCGACGCGGGAACCTCCTTGCAACCCTCTCAACCGGCCCCAAACGGCCAGAACGCCGCCCAGCACACTTTCTCCCTCGACACCAATGGCTCAACCCCCAAGACTCCCCGTCCCAGTGAAGAGGCAATTCTCTCTGCTCAATCAAGGTTTCTCAGCATATATATATATATATATATATATATATATATAAAAGACAAGTGTGTGCTTTGACGACAGAGACTTCTATACCTGGAGCTTCGAATTGGAGCTCCTGCTGCAGAGCGCTCAGATCTTCCATTACTTCGACGGGAGTTACGCGGGGCCCGCTGAAGGCACCGACGACGCCAGGACAAGGTACTACAACGAGTCCCTGATGGCGTACGGGATTCTCCTGCGCAATATGTCATTGGCGGAGCAACTGAGCATTCGCTCATACAAAACATCGTCTACTCCAGCCCTCGACGCCTGGCGCCACCTGAATGGCGTGTATCAGCCGAAGGACTCCGTTTCTTCGAGCCGGCTGCTCCAGCAGCTACTGGAGACCAAAATGGCCCCAGGGGAGAAGGCCAACAGCTACATTAATCGCTGTCGGAGCCTTCGCAATCGAATCGCGAAGCTAGGAAGCAGCATCTCCGAAGAAATCTTCGTGAACATCGTGCTTCAAGGGCTCGGCCCAGAGTGGCGGCCCTGCAAGGCGCTTCTTCGACAGCAGGGGGTCATCTCGGAGGCCGCCCTTTGCGCCGCCCTTCTTGTCGAACAAAGGGATATGGATCAGCAGCGACCAGCGCCGCGACGAGAACGAGAACGCCTCGCCTTCTACGCCGACAACACCGAAGAGCGACGGCCGCGGCGCCTCTACTGCAAAATTTGCAGAAATTTCGGGCACTTGACAGATCGATGTAAATCCCGATCTCGCCCTCGCCAGACCAATCCGAGCAACTGGTCCGGCCGACAAGACGCACGAGGCGACGTGCGTCCAGCCCAAGGGTATCAACCCCGCGCGTAACCTGAACCCAGCGGTTCAGCATCAGCAGCAGCAGCCGTCACCGCCTGCCCCAGTACGAAATGTCATGGGAAACATGGCCATGACGGGCGAGTCCCGTCGCCGCCGAGTACGCTCACCGTCACCTGAGCCTGCTCCGCATCCCATCGGCGCCTTCTCCAACAACAACCCGTTTCGTACGCGCCATGACTACACCGACGACGACGCCCAGGATTGGAACTTACCAATCTTGCTGCTTGAAAGTCCCCCGCATGTACCCGACACGCGGGTGGCACCACTCGACTGGCTTTCACGCGAGCAGTTTCAGAAGTTCGACACACTGCACCTCGTCACGCCGCGACTAGCACTGCTCGCACGTGACGACGACAAGCGCTACAATACCTGGTACATGGACAGCTGCTGCGGCCGGCACATGGTGGGCTCCGGGCGTTACATATCCAACGCCATCGCCACCCCAACAGTCACCTACGTCACTGTGGCTAACAATACGCGCCTGCGCACAAGCACACAAGGCATCGTCGTGCTCAAGAGAAGTTCCTTAAGATTTACTCTCATCGGCGCGACCCCACGAAGAAACTTACCGTGGAGCAAGAGGAAGAATTAGCGCGACGCGAAGCAGAGGAGCTTTGCCAACAAAGCCTCGCCGAGGCTCGCGACACTTTTGCATGTGTCGCATGGGGAGCCGAAGAGGAGGAAAGCGCCTCCAATGATGGGGGGTGGGGGAGAGCAGACGGATGGGGAACGAGCGATACCGGTGGCTTGGGCAACACCGGCGGCACCTGGGCAATCGCAAGCGGCGGATGGGGCGTTGCAACTGGCGACAAAGGCAGCGGCTGGGGTGCTTCCCGCGAAGAAATTAAGGGGGGAGAAGAAGCTGAGGCAACACCCGCAGTTGTTCCTCTTGGTCGCCCCCCGTGCCATGTTCCACCCGCGTTACCTCCACCTGATATACCGCCACACCGCGACCCATGGGACACCATCGACTAGGCAACAAGCCGTCGACTCCGCGCCGCCCCGTCTACGGACCTGCCCCCGAACCGCGTGAACCCACCTTCGTCCCAGGAACTATCCCTAGGACCAACATTTCCCTCTCCGAAATCCGCGACAGAGAGTTTCTGGCACTCATGCTTACCACCGGCACTGACGAAGATGAAACAGCAGAAGAGGCAGCAGCAGAACCTGCTCCCGTACCTGACGAAGACCCTGAGGAAGCTCGCGCGCGCTACATGCGCACCTCCGGGTCTCGCACCAGCGCCTCGGCCACCCATCACACGCGACGCTGAAAAACTGCATCGACGCAGGCGTCTTCGCTCCTGGCGCACTCCTGCGCCCAGACGGCACCGAAGTAAAAGGCGCGACACA